GTATCGGATATTTATAGCAATGGCGTATTTAGTTATTTTGGTTCCTTTGAGGAAATCAACATATGCTTGGGCCATGGGTGGCCAACCATGCATCTTTAATCCTCCAGCTCGCCATCCGCTCCAGCACCTGGCCCCCGCGCTGCGCGCCGCCTGCTCTCCTTCTTCCCTATTGGTTGAGCTCTCGGCCGAGCGCCTTGGTCGTGTGGGGCGGTAGCCGGCGGCGCGGATCCGGCCCTGCCACGCCCTTGGCTGCCGGCGAGTTGCCGTCCACGTGAGAACGGAAGCGAGTATGAGATACGGAGGAAAGCGAGGACAGCCCTCAGCCTTAGGCGATTTCGATTTCTGAATATGTCTGAAGGTTTCTTACAGAGTTGTGGCACTTATGTGCCTGATACAGACTCTGGCTTCTTAGGACCACTTGACAGTGTAACACGAAAACGTAAATGACTTAATACTACTGAAACGGGAACACGCCTTCTCCGATCCGGTGCGTGCGGATCCGGCGTTCCCCTGCCTGACATCATGTAGGCGTGGTGGCGATGCCTAGGGCGGCGTGAGGCCGCGCGGGGCTTGCTGTCCGACTTGGCGCCGTGCCGGCCGCGGTGCACGTCCCCAAGGCAGGTGCTCCGCGTGCTGGAGGCCGCGGTGGCGAGCGCCGAGGGCCACGACGCGGTGTGCGAGTCCACGCGGTCAGCGGTGCCCGCGGTTGTGTTCTCCCGGTGCTGGCTCCAGTTGATCCGGCAGCCGGGGTCCTGGCATTGGCAGCGGCCGTTCAGCGCCGCTGCTCCCGGATCCGCGGTGTGAAGCCCTCGGCGCCATGTCCCAGCATGGCTGGCCGGATGACGAATATGGTGGACACCAGTGAGCTGCTAGATCCGGTTTTCGTTGAGCGGTCCCTGGCCCGGATCTACGTCGGCAAGGACTATGGTGGGCTGGCGGCCACGCTTGATGGTGTGGCGGCGGTGGCTCGGGCGACGCAGCGAGCATACGGTGGGCAGCTAGTGGATGGTAGTGGCGGGGGCGGGCCTTGCGTGGTGGTGCCCCTAGGGAGCGCAAGCAGCACGTGGTCAGCGTGGGCTACACGATGGCGGCGCGAGTAGGGTGTGCAGGCTGCTCGTGGACGGCTTGGTCATGGAGAGAGGCGGCCACGGCATACGGACGTGGTGATTGTTTGCTCCCAGCAATAGATCTATTGGTACCCTAGGGTGCAAGGATCAGTGAGGAGGCGGACCCTGACGCCAGCGGCAGCCCTAGGGGTGTGCGGCAGCGATAGAGGACTCCAGCAGAGGCGACGACCATCCTGACGACGAGGGCTGCCCTATAGACGGCGGAGGCCTAGGAATCTAATAAAGCGGTAGCGGATCCTGTCGGCTCGCGTCTGATCGGCTAGTTCTGACTAGACACGATGGATGAAGGTGGAATAACCGGTGACATGTGGTGTCAACTCACTTGAAGCAGATGAAAATGGCAGCAGCGGGGGGTTCACAACGATGGCGCACTAGGGGGCGGCGGCGACTTGACGACTTCCACTCATCCAATTTGGCTGTTTCAGGAGAGGATATCGGGAAGCACCGAGGTCGAAATTCTTTCTTTCTTTTTTGTTGTGTATTCTCCTCTTTGTTGAGGTGTGAGTCTAAGTACTTTTGTATTTCTTTTGGTTGTGTATATCCTTCGTGGATATAGAGTCCGGATTAACGAAATCCATTATCTAAATATAATATATGATGGCATTTCTCTAGACTTGAGAGACTTGGGAGTGGATTTATTGTGTGAAGCTGTTACGGTGCAATGGCATAGGAGTACATGTCTAGGTTGGGCGCGAAATTTGGCGTCGGAGGGCGTCGTCGGACGACGAACCGCCGCGTGGGACCCCAGCCCCCCGCCGCTGCCGGAGGTTCGAAACACTGCGCACCGTGGTCGACCGACGCGTGGGTGAGCTCCGCCCGGCTGTGCAGGTGGCGCGCGGGCGGGGCGCGCAGCCCAGTGACCCGCGCGGCCACGAAGGTGCATACACGTTACACGGTCACATATTGAACATTTGAACGGAGTGTTCGATCGATTTGCTTTGCGGTAGATCTGTGGATTTGTGAAAGATAGCATGCCTTGTACGTGTTCCTCAGGAGTGTGCCCTTTGAGCTGCATCGTCTGTTATTATTCATAGAACCGTTGCTCGCTTGGTTTGCAGGCTGCTGCTGATCCGGGACTGGATGCTCATTCCGCCGCTGCCGAGAATTTACACAGTTTCGGTAAGATTTCCACAATTGCGTCTGCCAGTTGTCACTATCATTTTTAACCTTGCACGTCCACCACTCCCAACAAATGTCAAATGGATTGGGAAATATTGGGCTCATGGGATGGGTTAGTAAATTTGTCTCAGAAAATGCTGGCTATTCGCGTGGAGTACTAGAAATCTAGAATGAATAGAAGGGTTGTTGCTTGTGTTCCAATTCATTAATAGAAACTGTCAGTCATGTATATTGTGTCACTCTGTTTGTAGATCAAGAAGATGAGTGGGTGGGACATGTGCCCTGTAACTGTTAATACTGTTTGAAGTCATCTCCTTCTGTTTTAGTTGGAAGAAAGAAGAAGAATCATGTGCAGGTATCATATAGTGTTTTTCCTTTACCTTGTTTTATTATCAGTAGGCCTCTCTTGAAACTATGATGAGGAAATTTGGAATGTAGCAACCGTTGTGAATAATTGCAAAAGCCGAAGACATGGTTGACAAAGTATTAACGAACATGTGTTATGTTTGGTAGGTTGATGGCAATTGCAAAAGGGTTGCTCGTCCTACTGAAAAGAATGACAGCAAGGAACCTTCTCCCCAAGAAGAAATCTTTGAGGCGCTCAGAAAGATACCCAGGTCGTTGGAGCATGCTGATTTACTGAGGGCATACAGCACGCTCATCCGCGATGATCGTCTGTTCAGATCTCTCATGGCGCTGCCTGAGGACATGAGGAAGGACTGGCTCCTCTTGGAGATCAGGAACCAGTGAACTGAGGCTTGTCCTGTTTGCGTTGCATGTACACGGCAACTGACACACAGCATGCGTGGCAATTGGCAATGTCCTCGAGTGATCTGTTTATCTATAGTGCTGGTTATCGTAGTATTCGTTTGCCAGATGTAATTTCCTAGCCTCTTGTTGGGCCATGTAATGCAATATCTGTGACATGAGGAAGGACTGGCTGCTCATGGAGCTCGGGAACCAGTGAACTGAGGCTTGTCTTGTTTGCGCTGCATGTACACAGCAACTGACAGCATGCTTGACAACTGACAATGTCGTCGAGTGATCTGTTTATCTAGTGCTGGTTATGTGGTATTTGTTCCCAGATGTAGTTATCCTAGCCTCTTGTTGGGCCATGTAATGCAATGTCTGTGACGTTTCCCTAAGCTAGTATGAATCCTCTTCAAATTGTCAATATGTGCTGTTATTTGCGTGTGACTATGTGAGCACATGAAACTAGTGGATTGCATTGAGCTAGTCCACACCGTTTGCCAATCCTAACATGTCATTGTTTCATCAATTTCATCAGGTCAATGCACCCATAAATTTCACTACTCTTCAAGAGGGAACTGCAGCTACCTCTTCCGGATTTGTTTGCAGGAACGCTTCTGAATTTTGTTCAATTTTTAAACCAAAACCTAACAATCTGACCTCACACATCCCTTCAGCCCGGCCAGCCCTTTAGCATACTTAGGCCCTGTTGGATCCATTAATAGTAATAGTTAGCTAGCTACTAGCTCATAGCTAACTATTAGCTGCTATTAGCTTGTTTTGCCCGACTAGTAAAATAATTGTTAATTGGGTATCAGCTAACAAATAGCTAAACTATTAGCTGGATCCTGCTTGATTCAAAGCAGCTAATTACTATTAACTTGTTTTGCCCAACTAGTGAAATAATTATTAATTAGGTATTAGCTAACAATTAGGTAAACTGTTAGCTGGATCTTGCTAGGATTCAAAGCAGTTAATTACTATTAGCTTGTTTTGCTCAACTAGTGAAATAATTATTAATTGGGTATTAGCTAACAGTTAGCTAAACTATTAGCTCGATCCTGCTTGGATTCAAAGTAGCTAATTACTATTAACTTGTTTTGCCCAACTAGTAAAATAATTGTTAATTGGGTATTAGCGAACAATCAGCTAAACTATTAGCTGGATCCCATTTGAATTCAAAGTAGCTAATTACTATTGACTTGTTTTGCCCAACAAGTGAAATAATTGTTAATTGGGTATTATTAGCTAACAATCAGCTAGCTGAACCGTTAGTTGGATCCTACTTGGATTCAAAGCAGTTAATTACTATTAGCTTGTTTTGCCCAACTAGCAAAATAATTTTTAATTGAGTATTAGCTAACAATTAGCGATCTTGCTTGGATTGAAAGCAGCTAATTACTATTAGTTTGTTTTGCCCAACTAATGAAATAATTTTTAATTGGGTATTAGCTAACAATATATCAGCTAAACTATTAGCAGGATCCCATTTGAATTTAAAGGAGCTAATTATTATATCTCTCTGTCCCACTATATCTGTCGTTCTTGCAGTGTGTTTAAGTGTCTAGATTCATAGCATGTTCCATGTACCCAGACACACCGTATGCCCAGGTTTAGAGAATCTTTGTTGTACCTGGTTAGAAAGCTAAAACGACACATATAACGGGACAAAGGGAGTACCTATTGGCTGCTTGGATCCAAACATGACCTTAGCGGGTCTGGACCTAACTAACAGTGCCAGGTAACTGACGCCGGCCCACAAGGCCTAGCACTATCGAACCCGCGCCCACGCCGTAGCCGAATCCTCCTCCCAGCATAAGCTGAGTGACAAAATTAAGCAGCAAACCTCCGTTTCTTCTCCTCACGCTCCTTGCATGCGTTTCCCTCGCACAAAACTCCATAACGCAAAAACCCCCCGGTTTGGCAAGTCCCATACCACCTACGTACCCGGCTACCCCCATTTGAATCTCCCCCTCCCCGATCGCAGACTCATCGGCCGGGACGATGGTGCGGAGGCGGAGCGACATCGACTGGTATAGCGTGTTTCTGTCCGCCTTTTCTCACGACGGCGCGGTCGACGCCAGCTCCGACTCCCCCGCGCTAGCACCGCAAGCCCCCGCGTCTCTAGGTGGCCGCCAAAGGTTTGAGGAGCCGCGCAATGAGTTCGAGCGGCGCTTCGGCCCCGGCGCGCCGGTTGATGATGGGCCGCACTTCCGACTCACCCGTGTGGCGGCCAAGGTATGCACGCCTGCTAGCTCGCTCCTGTGCTCTTGCAACGAAAACGAGCTGTGGCGTTTGATTATCTGTGCGCTTTCTGCACCTTAGTTGTGTGCGTACTGCATAGGTTTTGTTCACTCCCTTTATCTGCTATATCCCATCAGTTATTATTCAGAGTACCATTTCTCGCTTGGTTTGCAGGCTGCTGTTGGTTTGGGACCGGATGTGGATGTTCCTGCTGCTTCTAAGGGCGTAGATGATTTCAGTAAGATTCCTACACTTGCCGTCGTTACCATTTTTAACCTTGCACATCTGCGGATGGTTAAAGCTGGATTGGGAGAATTTGGGCTCATGTCATGGGGTTATTGAGTTTATCGCGGGAATGCATGCTATCCCCGTGGAGTATCAATGAACAAAACAGTCGTTGAATCTATTGTAGCTGTTCACTGATACAAGCTGTCACTGATTTGTTATATTTCATTTGTGTGTAGGTCCGGTAGATGAGGATGAGCAACGGGAACATGTGAGCCACGAACACTGTTCGAAGTCATCTCCCAAGTTTAGTGGGCAGAAGAAGAATGATGGCCAGGTAAAATACATTTTTTTCAACTCTTGCTTTGTTGATCCACATGCACCCCTATCTCGCTCCTGTGCTCTTGTATCGAGCTGTATTCTTGTATCGAGCTGTGTTGTTTGATTATCTGTGCGTGTTCAGTTCTTGAAGTGTGTACCTAGGTTTTGTGCACTCCCTTTATGAACTACATCGTGTTGATTATTCAGAGTACCATTTCTCGTTTGGTTTGCAGGCTGATATTGGTTTGGGACCGGATCTTCCTTCTGCTTCTAAGGGCGTATATGATTTCAGTAAGATTCCTACGCTTGCTGTCGTTATCATTTTTTAACCTTGCATGTCTGCAAGTGGTTAATACGTGTCTAGGCACTGTCGCGGAAAAAAAGTCTACAAGTGGTTAAAGGTGGATTCGGAGAATTTGGGCTCATGTCATGGGGTTATTGAATTTATCGCGGGAATGCATGCTATCTATGCGGAGTATCAAGCAGAATAAATCTGTCATTAAATATGTTTTAGTTGTTCACTGCTAGGATCCTGGATCCTACCGCGACTGCGAAGAGCGTAGGGGTACGAGGTGGGAGGCTGAGGTCGTAATTTTTGGCCCCGGGTTGGTGCTGTGGTGACGAGCGGCAGCGGCGCTAGGGTGAGCGGGCGCGCGTGATCGCGAGAGGGAGAAGGGAGGCTCGGTAGATGGCCCTTGTGGCCAGGCAAGAATATTGCCTTGCTTCATTATTTCCAAAAGAGTCAAGGGGTATTTATCCCTTCACCTTACAAGCAAATCAATCACGATCCTATAATTATGGAAATAGGAAAAATATCTAAAGATAGCCTGTCTTGAGCGCCTAGCCCCTGGCCGCCAGTGTGGCCTAGCCACTGGGTTGGCCCCGGTGTTGATACGTGACGTTGGTCATAACATTCACTGATACAAGCAGTCACCGATTTGTTATGTTTCATTTGTGTGTATAGGTCCGGTGGATGAGGATGAGCAGGGGGAACATGTGAGCCGCAAACATTGTTCGAAATCATCTCCCAAGTTTAGTGGGCACAAGAAGAATGATGGCCAGGTAAAATACACTTTTTTGAACCCCCCCCCCTTCTCTCTCTCTCTTGCTTTGTTTATCCACGGGCATCTCTCTCTTGGACATTTGTGACTTATGAGGGAATTGTGAATGCAGCTACCCTTGAATAAAAGGAGAAACCAAGGCCATGGTGGAAAAAGGAAACCTTCTGTGAACAAACGGAGGGCTCATGCCACTGATCCAGAGGAGTCTGATTATGAAAGTTCACTTCCCAGTAGATTCTCTGAGAGGTAGGCGTCCATTTTCCTTGTGTGTTTATAGACAAGTTATTTATGTTATTACCTTTCTAACTAGTAATTTTATGATTTTATCTGTGCATTTTGTACAACCATCTGGGTTAATGAAAATGTGACCTTATATGGAAATTTGTATGCTTTTTAAAGATATTCTCTGCCTTACTTAATAGTTATGTTTCACAAGCATTTGCATATTGTGCACGTACGGTCATATCTATTGGCATGTATGATGTACTAAATTATTATATTTATAACTTATTACTTCGCTCCATTTAGAAGTATCAATCATCAGCTCTAATCCTGCATCCTTCTATGCAGGAGGAAGCAACAGCTTCAGAATTCATCTTCTGTTCATTCTCGAAAGGTTGGTATTTGATAATAATTGTTAGAATGGCATTATCCTAGCCATTACTAGTTTTCATATCTCATTCATCTCGGGACCTAATAGCAGATCATATCTGCATGTAATTTTATAGGCTGTATTAATTATGCTACATTAGAGGATATTTTGTATTCTTCCCTTTGCATGTACACTCACTGTTTTATAAGTACTGCCTACAACAATAGAAAATTTATTCCCCCTATCTTCTTTCATGGTACCAGCCTAATTCATGATCCTGCTGTCAATCCTTCTCTCTTCCTGCTCCTCTCTTTCTTACCATGGGTGAGCACCCACAAGCATATCCTACTGCCACACTAGCTGCAACCATTGCTGCTGCTCTTCCCCATGAACGCCATGGCCCTTCAAGTGAACACCACCTCTCCATGATATACATGGACTCAGGTGCTTCTTAGCACCTCTCCTCCAACTCTGGTAATCTATCCACTCCTCAACACATGCCTCCTTCCGGAGTCAAGGTTGGTGATGGTTCTCACCTAATACTGCCTCTAGCTCTACTCCAATCGTGTCTTCGTGGACCACTTCATCTAAACAATGTTCTTGTCTCACCATCTCTACAACCACTTTGTAGCCACCGCATTGAGCAATGCATCTCATTGTATGCCGACGATGTTGTCTTGTTTGTTTGGCCAACACCGGAGGACTTATCAACGAACAAGGCCATCCTGCAGTTGTTTGGAGATGCATCAGGGCTACAAACAAATGTGGCCAAGGGCTCTATGGTCCCAATACGATGATAGGGTACGAGCTCTCAGTGATCACTATGACCCTTCCCTGTGAGATCAAGGAATTCTCGTGCAAATATTTGGGTTTGCCGCTGTCGATAAGGAAGATGACAAGGCGGAATCACAACCCATCATTGACAAGATCCCCGATATGCTACCTGGGTGGAAGGTAGCTCTACTAAACACCGTCGGGCGATCCGTCCTCATCCATGCGGTGCTCACCATCGTGCCAATCTACATGTTAATAGCCATGGACGTCCCCAAATGAGTGATTCGCGCAATTGACAAATGCTGTCAGGCATTCCTCTAGAAGGGACATCGGGATGTTAGTGGCGGGCATTGACCGATTGCTTGGGAAAGGGCTTGCAAGCCGATCAAGTTAGGAGGCTTTGGCATTCACAACTTGGAGACCTTGGGATGGGCTCTCGGAATGCGTTGGTTGTAGTTGAGCAAGACGGATCATACGCGGCCATGGGATAAGTTCGATGTTGCGATGCACCCTTGTGCCAAATCCATGTTTGCAATCTCGATCACTTCTATGGTGGGAAATGGGCACAACACAAAGTTCTAGACAGACCTATGGCTCCACTGCAAGTCCGTCCAAGATCTAGCGCTGGATCTGATCCCTTCATCAAAAGGCATGCTATGGGATGATGAAACGTGGCTGAGGCACTTCAAGATTGGACCTAGGTTCGCGACATTTCTGGAGGTCTCTCGGTTGCGGTGATTGTCAACTATCTACAGCTTTGAGATGGGTTTGGGACGATTTTAGCTACTTGCGGACCTAGAAGACGTCCATGTATGGAGTTTGTCGAGCTCTGGTCTAGAGTCTGTCGAGCTCTAGTCTATATACCACCAAGTTCGCCTATCATCGATTCTTCAATGGTGCTATTGTTTTTGAGCCTCACAAGTGCATCTGGAACACTTGGGAACCTTTGAAGTGCAAGTTCTTTCTCTGGATGGCAGCACACAAGCGATGCTAGACGATAGAACACCTGGCTCACCGTGGATTGCTTCACCCTCCATGGTGCCCTTTATGTGACAAAGAGAGTGAGACTATTGACCATGTCTTGATATCTTGCGTGTTCTCATGCTAAGTGTGGTTTTTTGTGCTTCATCATCTGGGACTTGATGTCCTTACGCCTTCACATGATGACGACGAGTTCCAATCTTGGTGGCGATGAAGCACACACAGGACACCCAAGGCAGTGAGGAAGGGACTAAACACATTAGTCATCCTCATTGCTTGGATGATCTAGAAACATCAGAATCGATGCATGTTTGAGAACATCTCACCCTCAGAGGCATGCTGTTGCATGAGGTGCACAACCAAGGTCACATCTGGGTGATGGTTGGAGCCAAGGCATTGCGCTCTCTTCTAGGACATTAGTAGAGCTATGTTGTTTTTATCTAATTAAAAGGGCATGAATGTAAAAAAACTAACCCAAGTCGTGGAATTGCCATGTATTCGGACCGTTTTTTCTACTTATTAATGAAATGATAGACAATCCTCCTGCATGTTTGAGAAAAATTATACCCTTTTGGCCTCTCTGTGAAGGATCTTCAAACCAAGATAGTGATGCTTTGTTGCAATAGCTCCAGCGAACTATACCCTATCCCTCCAGCACTGCCACATGCCTTCATTATACCATCCATCGACAACACACTCTGGCATCGTCACCTTGGTCATGTTGGAACTTCTATTCTTCAACACCTCACCACCACAAACACCATCTCGTGCAATAGATCAGCTACTCCTACTTGTCATGCATGTAAATTAGGAAAGCATACCAAGCTTCTGTTTCAGTATTCTTTGTCATACACAAATAAATCTTTCCAGATTGTTCACTATGATGTATGGACATCTCCAATTAAAAGTATATCCGGCAACAAGTATTATCATGTTTGTTTAGATGATTACATTCATCACTGTGGGCTTTCCCTCTTGTACAAAAATTTGACATTTCAATGCCTATGTCTCTACACACCACAAAATACTCGATTCTCCTATATCCAATGCAACAATGGAAAATAATTTGGCAACGCATTCACTCGAGATTTCTTCCTCACCCTTGGCACCCAGTTGCTTTTCTCCTGTCCCTGCACATCGCAACAAAATGGTAAAGCCGAGCACATCATTAGAACTACCAATAACATCATCCAAGCTTTGCTTTTCGAAGTATGTCTACCTCCTAAGTTTTGGGCTGAAGCACTTTTTACATCAACACACATCCTTAATCGCCTCCCATAAAAACCTTAAATTTCACCATCATATGGTCACCTTCGGGGTTTTGGATGTCGATGTTATCCTAACCTTTCCTCCACAATTCCCCACAAACTTGCTCCTCGGTCTATAGATTGCATCCTTCTTGGATACCCCACAAACCACAAAGGATATTGTTGCCTCGATTTGTCTACTAATTGTGTGATTATATCATGACACATTTTTTTATGAATCATGTTTTCCATATGCGGATCGATCCGCACTAGACTCTTCTTCCTAAAGGTTCTTGGAGGAGGATGACTGCTGCATACTTCCCTTTGTCTTGGCTCCAATGCCCTCACAAAGGGCCCATCATGGTGGAATCATTGTGCTACGTGTTCCAAACACGTCTCTATTTTATGAGGCGCTGCTACAATCAACCGACAGCCGCACAACTGCATCCGTCCAGTCTTGTTCAGCACATTCCTACTCTTCGCCCGTCATTTCTTCCACGCTAGGAACACCCCCTATGCCATGCGCAGTCCTTGCGCACACGCCTTGTCGGTGCAGAAAGTGACCAACACGTAAATATTTGTAGTTTTGCTGTACGTTGTGATCGGAGGTGGCCTAGCACTCAATGACACAGGGTTTATACTGGTTCAGGCAACGTGCCCTACGTCCAGTTTGAGTCAGTTGGTGACTTTATTCCTGAGCCCAGGTGCTCGAAGTTTGTTGTGGGGTTACAAACAAAAGGGAGAAAGATGGGGGGTACAAGAGGTCCGGTCGGACTCTGGTCTAAAGGGCCGAGAGTGATGGGAGCTCCGCTATGTGCTAAGTGTTCAAGTGTGTGCTCGAGGTTTGAACCTAGTGGTTCTGTTATGGTGTGTGAGTGAACTGAGGGCTTTATCTATTGGGAGAGAGCGCATCCCCTTTTATAGATGAAGGGGACGGCCTTACAAGGTGAGAGAGAGAGAGTACGCATGCTACTAAGTCTTGTTGCCCACGCCGTCGGGTACAAGATGATGGTAGGCGCCCATAACACTGTTGTTGTCAGACGTAGGTGGGAGGTTTTACCGTATTCACCATGTATGGTAGATGACGGCACCCACAACACTATTGATGTCTAGAGGCATCTGGGGGGAGCCTTACCATGTTTGTCTGGTATGGGAGTTGATGGCGCCCACAACACTATAGGGCAAATGTCGGCACCCACAACACTACTTGGGTTCTGGCATGCCCTGGAAGGTTGCAGGGCACCCTTCTAACATGTCCTATTGGCTACTATCCCACAGGTGCACAGGGTACGGTCCTCGGTATTGTGGTTGACTTTGAGTACCCTGCCTTACTTGCTCCGTCCGTTTCCTGGTCCTCACCGAGCGGGCGTCCCCGGTCGGTTGGTCCCAGTTGGCTCCGATTGTGCCAGTCGGAGAAGAGCTGTAAGCAGGGGTTTGGTGTGTCCCCGGTCGGAGTTGGAGGCGGTGTCTAGCCAGGCCTTCTGGTCAGAGAGGCGGGCCGGAGTCGAAAGCGAGCGTTGTTCCTCCTTGGCCAGGCTTTCCGGTCGGAGATTGGATCACCCTTGTGGCCTGTCGTTTAGGTATTTGGGCCGGCCCAGGAGTTGCGCGTCGTTCGCAATGTCATCTGCTGGGTTGAGCCTTTGCTAGAAAGTCGGTCCATGAGGGACCCTGAGTTCATGAATTCGACAGGAGCCCCTGAGCCCCCGGGCGATTCGGGTAGAATCGTTTGGGGGATTTTTGTCTTGATGGCGGGTGCGCGCGAGCGCACCCGCGGGTGTAGCCCTCGAGCCCCCGAGTGATTTGGGTAGAATTGTCCGGGGGGGTTGTTTTGCTAGCGGGGGGATTTTGTGTTTCGTCAGCGGGTGCGTGCGAGCGCACCAGCGGGTGTAGCCCCCAGGCGATTCGGGCAGAATCGCCTCGAGGGTTTTGTCAGCGGGTAGTTTAGGGATTGGGTGAGACGGAGTTCACGGATCCTGGCGTCGGGCGTAGCCAAGGTAGTTTAGGGATCGGACGAGATGGAGTCGCGGATCCTGG